CCAAATAAAATACCAAAATTCAATGTTTGTTTTTATACACAGCTTGCACCTACATCACCCAGGTAGCGTTCAGGGACAGCTGTCACCATATTTCCGTACCAAATCGCCATCTTCCCAATGCCGCTAAGGGGGCTCGTGTACCAAACAGCGTCGGCCAAGCGTCATTGTGCCAGGCTGTGCAAGTGTCGACAATTGGCTGTATAAGTGCGTGTTTAAACATGCCCAGCGACTGTCTCGATTGAGCGGCGCATGCTTCTTCGGGTTACGGAGAGTTGAGCCAACTGCCCAAAAACTAAATTGGGTCCGACCCGGATTCGACCACATGCGTGTCAAAGTGTCAATGCATGCATAGCCCGAATGAAAAACAAAATACTGGGTGTCCCAAGGAGCGGCCAGGCTCTATAAATCGACCGCCAAAATTTGGTTTCTTAATCTATTGCACTACAACTTTGTGCAGCGTTGCCCACAGATGGTCCTCCTTGCCTTCATAGACAAATTTCAAATTATAACCCCGCTCCAACACGGTTTACGACCTAATAAATCTATGTCAACTGCTGTTCTGTCACTTAGTCGAGCAATAAACGACTCACTTAACGACAACAATATTACGCTCTACGTTTTCCTCGATATTAAGAAAGCTTTTGATGCGGTCGATCATTCCACTCTACTTAACAAATTGGAGGGATACGGGTTTAGGGGTTCATCATTAAGGTTTTTAAAGAGCTATTTAACTTCTCGCTTTCAATATGTCTCCATGTCGAATTGTCAATCAAATATTAGGCCAATCAAAACAGGGATTCCGCAAGGATCAGTGCTGGGTCCTGTCCTTTTTTAATTATATGGCAACAATCTCTCATATTTACTTATTGATTCCCAAATGATAATGTACGCAGATGATACAGCAATTTGCTACACAAATAATTTGTTGGATAACATTAATAGTGTGATCAATGAAGAACTGATTATTGTCCAGGATTGGTGCAACTGTAACAAGTTGACGCTGAATATAAAAAAACAAACTAAGTATGTTATATTCCACTCAAACAAAAAACAAATAAACTATGCTAACTGCAAAATTTACATTGCCCACTCTCTTTGAGAACAAGTCTATACATTCAAATATCCGGGAGTAATATTCGACTTCCACTTACATTGGGAACACCATATCGCTTATATTTGTCAAAAACTGTCATATTCTTGCTAAATTCTGCTGAAGGCCCGACAGTGCTTCGACTCCTTAAAAAAATATTTACTTCTCGATACTCTACCGCCATTTAAAGGGGCGGTGCAATGATTTTAACACTGAACGAATGTGCAGCTTGTATTTCTTATGTTGTTTACCTCGGCATAAGTAAGAGAAAAAGTGCCACTATACCCCAAAAATACCTCTATTTCGCTGCGTAATCGTAAAATAAAAAACACTTTTTTTCCCAACCTGCGGCCACATGGTGGCCGCAAATGGAACCTGTGGTGTGACGTCATTCGGAGTGGTTTTTGTAAGTGATAGTGTTAGGCAATTGTAAGCTTGATTTAAGGTTAAGTTTAAAAAATCTTATTGTTTAGGCATGCAAAAACGCTTCAAAAGCCTAATATTGCCGCTAAAAGGGTATGAATTATTTGTGGCGCCATCTACCGCAAGTCAACAGAACCTGCCGTCGCCGTCATCCGTCGACGCCCAAGGCGCCTACGGCGGCTACACGAGCAACCCGGACGTTTTGTCTTTCCCTCGCTCGACGGAGTGCGTTGGTCATGGTCCGTAGTATCGTGGTATCGTTATTGTTCCTGGTGTCTCGACCTCGACTTCGACTGCCTGTTGCGTCGCAAGCATCTTGCGCTCGACGTCGCTCAGGCCGTCCGCCCATGCCGCCATGTTGGTCGGGAATCGGCGGGAAAGCGGGAGAGCGGCGAGGCCTGGCGAGCGCTGGGGAAACGGAAGCCAGAAGCACCCAACCGGAAACCAACGCCACTCCGAATGACGTCACAGGCAAAGCATGTGCCGCTTCAATGTTGAGTTGAGGGGTGCCAGAGATACCAATTTCTTTTATTTTTTTTAATGAAAACTAGGGCAAGCAGGAAAGAATAGTTTTCGGTCCTTCGTTTTATATGTGGCCGGGATCAATATGCAACTAATTAGCCAAAGTCTGCAAATTGTTGCACCGCCCCTTTAACAACTGTGCAGAAACATGGGGTACAACCTATGACACGCATCTCACGCCCATTATTGGTTTACAAAAAAGGGCAAATTGAATTATAACCGACTCACGCTATACACAGGCATCGAGCATTTTATTTCATCACCTCGGCATTCTTCCACTTCCTAAACTAGTAAAAAATAAAATTTCCACGCTGTTTCACGAAATAGTGACCACTAATAACCTATTTCCTATAACTATACTTCTTAAAGGTTTCTGTCAAACTAGAGCAAATCTGTCTGGACACTTTAAAGGGATACTTCAACGAAATTTGAAATATTCCTGTCGTGTTCAAAAATAGGTTGAATATGATCCACAATATCCGTAAACGACAATCGCACGTTTGTATTTTGAGCCTGGTGGCTGTATTTTTCGTTATAAACGGCCCACTCCGGCAAGCGCTCGGAGAAGGCCCAGCGGAAACCACGTGACATCCAACGCAATCGTGACGTAGGTCGTCTCAGGACGAGCAAAGCTACGGCGAGGCTGACGTCGAGAGGATGGCCTAGTCGTTCCAGCCACCGAAGCGGCTGCTTTTGTACGAATTTTGAGTGACGGGTTAGTCTTCTATAATCTTCTAGGGGGACAATAGCGACTTCTGCGACACACAAAAGGCATTCTCGGGAAGAGGGGAGTTCCTCCTGCCCCTCTTCTCTCGTCGTGGCCGGAGACGAGACAACCTCCGTCACTAGCTGTCAAGGTTCCTAGACGGGCATTACAAGCGAGGCGTTAGCGACATCCACCAGGTGCTCTTTGCTAATCGTTTAATTCGTTTTAAAATTCCTTTTCGTGACTTTTTTAAGAAGATATTGGTATGTTCGATGTCATGCTGCTTTTTTGAACACATATAGACCAAAAAACGAGCGCCGAAATTTCGTTGTAGTATCCCTTTAACCTTCCACAATGCCACAACGTTTAAAAGGAAAGGCTAATTCAATTCTGTGGGACAAAAATCTGGAACGCCCTATCGAACGCCCTTTGAAATTCGCATACTTTTAACAAAGCACTGAAGCATTATCTCCTCTTATCTACCTAGATCATCTTTCATCCTCATCATTGTTTCTTTGGTATTGCTAACGGAGATTAGCTTCTAATATTGTAGTAACATGACCATGTTCGATCGTCGCCCTCAGATTTCCCGAGGGCGACGATCGAACTGCATGCACTGTCAGTTCGATCATCGCCCTCGGGAAATCTGGCTGTGCACTGTGACAGATGTGGGTGTGTCCCAAAGTTTGACAACACCGTTATCTTAGCCTGAAACCGAAAAAAAATGACAAGGGAGATACCCGAAGCGTTTTTCATATCTGAGTACGTTGAAGGAATGTGTGTCAGTGCTCCATCTATAGCCCTGTTTGGCTCTGAGGTGGCGTTTTTAAAATCTTTCGTAAAGTAGATAGCGGACAGACGAACGCCGATGGGGTGATGTCGCATCTCTGAAGTACATGTCGCGATTTCACGGTGTATATATATGTGTGTTTTCTGAGAATAAACTTCAGTTGCAAGTAGCGCTCTGTGTTGTTCGTTTCTTTTACTCGTCCGTTGTTTTTAGCGCTTTTACCCTCACAAACATGGATCACCAACTAGCCCAAGTGCATACCCTTCTATAGCGCGATAGGTTAAAAAAACAAATTTTGCGGTCAATTGAAAGAGCCTGGCCGCTCCTTGGGACACACAGTAGATTTCCTATCGCGTTTTTTGGAAGGATGCATTTAGAAGTGAAACCCGGTTACTGCTGAAATGCAATGTAAACAAATGCAACTGCTGTGCTCCTGTGCCCACAGTCCCGTGGAAGGGTATGTGAGTATGCATTGACCCATCGCCATATTTTTTTTAAAGCGCTCCTTCTGACTAGTTTGACGACATAAATTATAATGGATCCTAGTCGAAAGTCTGCATACCCAGACGAAGGGCATAGGTCGGCTTTGAGTCACGCCCCTCGACTCGGAAGGATACCACGGGCAATGCTTGTGCGTGGCTTCGGTCATCGTGGCTACACCGACGCAATGCTGGTAAGTCCTCACCGCTGCAAAGCTCCAACTTTTCTCCCATCTGGTTTTTGTGAGATGCTCGTCGAAATGAGCATCGCAGAGTAGTATCGTCCGTTCTTCCAAACATGGCATCGTTTCACCTGAGAGGACTCGTTAGATAGAGTTAGAAGATTTGTCTGGAAGCTATACAAGCCATTATGGTAAGCAAAATAAATAACTAAATAAGACTCGCAGCGATCAAACCGCGCTGGAATCGGACAACCAAATGAAGCTGGCTATAGAGGAATCTGGGCAGGCTCTCCTCTCGTTACGACGCAATGGCACTAGGGGGCAGAGTGTCCCGGTGTGACAACACATGCAAGCTATGCATACGGCGGAAGGAAGGTGTGCCCAAGACCAAGATCCACCCAACAGCTGGGCTAGCTTACGAGTCACTTAATTAAATTGGGCAAATCGACTGTAAGTACACTTTGCCTCAAGAGTACTACACAGTCTTATGACAGGAACAGGCACCAGGGTTCAGGCCTTTCCTTTGAGCAACAACTTGCACAAACAAAGCACTGTGCAGAGCTGTGCTCTCGCACACTTTTTATCGGAACACACAAGTTGAAAGAATCGTTTGAAGGGGTGGATCAACCCTTCAAACAGCAGCATTCTTTCAGCACAGACAAAATTTCTTTTGGAGTGATTCATACTTGTCAACTGTCCACAAAAGAACAGGGCTGGCAAATTCAAAGCATTTCATGCGGGCGTTTGCAACAGGCAGGAAACAAAAAAAAAGAAAATGATGGGAAAGGAATCTGCGGGGATAGTATACCTCTTAAGCACGAGGTTCGGGTGGTAATGTGCATGCCTACAAGAAAGTAAACCAGAGGCTTTAGACAAAGCGTCGCACCAGGTGAGCATGCAAGCGTGCGTAACGCGTGTGTACTCACGACAGGTAGCTATCAAAGAGCCGTTTGACTCTCCGAAGTTTCTCGGCAAGGTCCATGGTTGTTTTGAGGGATCTGCGACATTTTAAAAGACACCGTCCGACACGTCAAGATTACATCGGGGCTGTGTTCCAAACCTTACCCAAATGGATCCGAGCTACTCCGGCGCGACAACACACATTGAGAAACGCTGGACGCGGGTTGGTTTTAGAACGTCGAGGTCCCTTACCCTGGAGTAAAGGCTCTGTTATACTCCGACGTAACGCGTGCGCGCGTGCGAGCGCGTCACAGCGACGTCACGTCGGCGAAAACCCGACGCTCTATACTCCGGCGTCGTGGCGTAGCCGACGCAACCGGCGGCGTTCGACGCAGCCTGACTGCTTCGACGCCAAAATGGAGCATGCGGTATTCCGCGCCGGCCGCGCCGGCGACGCCGGGCCAGGATGCATCACGCGCTGGCTCCCGGCAGCCCTCGCGCGGGAAGCGCGGCGAATACGAGCAATAGCAGACGACAGGAGCACCACTCCGTGTGGCGTCATGTTTGAAGAATCGGACTCGGTCGGTCGAGAAGCTCATCGAGGGAACTCGTCCTCACCCGTGTGCCTACAACAAGAAGCTTGAGTACCGTAGACCGTGCGCTTGTCAAAGATGTACCGTATGTACATTGACCGCCTACGCTTGCGGCTCAGGTGGTGCACCAACAGTGCAAGCGCGAGTTGTCGTCGTGCAAGGTACGTCCACGCCATCGCTCGAACTTGGCGCTCAAGAAGCGCGAGCATTCTCGTCTGCTATTCGAAATGAAAAGGAACCGGAAATGGCGCACACTCACAGGAAACGTGCCCTCGTAGTCAGATTCTGCGCATGCGCCACGCCGGTGGCCCACCGACGCACAGCCGCGGGAGTCGCCAGGACCGCCGGAGTATAAAGAGGGCGAATTTTTGACGCGCGCGGCGTGACTGACGTGACGTAGCCGACTTCGGCCAGCGTTCGCCTGCGCGCGCGTTACGTCGGAGTATAACAGAGCCTTAAGACTGGGTAAAAGTTGCATCGACTTCGTAGCCACCGTCACTTGTTTGTAGCTGACGAGTTCGAATAGCTAATCGTGGAAGCATACGAAGCGATACAACATTCGCGAGGTATGCGCCACTTTCCGACCGTCCAGAACACAAATAAACCACCCAACACGCGCATCGATTCACTCACACTCTGCGTTTTCTGGGAAAGATTAGATGCGGCGCCGCAGGCCACCACGGTATGGGCGACTTGCCCTCTGCGGCGCCGCGGCTTTCTCAAAGAAATATTAATATCAATCTTTCCGAGGGAAAGAAGCAGCACCATTACGCGACAAAGTTTTGGCAAACCATCAGAGCCGATCAAAACGAAATGCTGGGTATACCTAAGCTTCTGCACATGGGGATGACTTGTTAGTTCATCGACGCTCCTATAGTGCTTCTTATCATCGCACGATAAGAAAGTGAACGTTGGCAAGAAAGTCCTGTAAGAGTGAATGTAGGATGTCCAAACTTCGTCACATTGCGATTTACACGAAAGTGTAATAAAGCAGTAAAGCCAGGTAAGCAGCGATGGGCTGACCACTGCCACCAACCAATCTTCACGTCGCGGCGTCGCACGTAGTCGCACAACACTGGAGAGCTACACTGCACTAAATTATCTATTTGTTAAATAATAACAAATAAATAAATTATAGTATGTAAGCTAAAAAATGTTTATATAGTTTTAATTTATAAATAAAAATAATAATTGTAGTATTAAAAATAATTTTTACTTTGTATTTAAGTAGGTGCGGATCTTCAAAACACGCCGTAATGGCGTCTAGTCAGCGGGCCTTCGTACAGAAGCTCAGCAAGTAAGATGAAATATAAATGTTGCTCGATGCTCTTCCTGCTTTTAACGCTTGCAAAATTGAATATTATGTATTCTCTTTCGAGTCCAAAAATTTATATTTCGCTATTGGCTATGTGGCACCAATTATTGCTTTGTTGATAGCTTGTTTAAACTAGTCAGATAAAAAAAAAAAAAAAGCGGTTATTTGACATGCCAGTTTAAGTTCATGTCATTTACGCCGGATTTTTTTTCTTTACTTTTTTGGAATATAACGTCAAACCCAAATGCCTTGTGCGAGTAAGCTGTCAGGCGTCCTTGTGATACCATTACAGGAAACTGGTTTAACCGTTACAGAAACTGGCCTTCGTATCGTATCATAACTGTCACTCTTGCCCAGTTAAAACCGTAATTCACTACTTCTACAAAAAAAGAAAAAAAAAGAAAGGGAAAGCAGCATTGCAACAATAAACTACGCAGCGCCCAAAGCTCAATCTCACATCTTGTGTGAATGCGATAAAGTTCAATACACATATCCCGTGTGAATGCGATAAATCCAAGGGTGTGTCTATTCTATCGGCATCCGGGAGAATGATTTCCCGAAACTCTACCGGCATTCGCCTCCCATTGGCTGTCTCAAATCATGTGACAACTACGAATACTTGAAAGAATAAAACATCGAGGGCGGGAACGGTAACGCGACTTCTTTCATTGAGCAACACCATACAATGGCACAAAATATAAAAACCGCCCCCAAAGGTTTCAACGTTCTCGAAGAAGGAGAGGAGAAAATTGTTAAAAAGGAAAGAGAATTTACTATATACAAAAAAAAAGTTAAAGCGCTGGCGTCACGATGAGCTGTCACTAATCTCCTTATCTCTGGTGCAAGGAATTGACTTGTGTCATTGTCAGTGATAATGAAGGTGCAGAAATAATGTTGACAGTCCCAAAGTGAAATGGCCTATAAATTTACAAGTTTTAAAAAGCACTAGCGTCACGACGAGCTATCAGTAATCTAGTCATCTCTGGTGTTAGGAATTCAACAGCTATCTTTGTCCGTGATAATGAAGATAAATGTTGTTGGCAGTCCCCATGGCGAATGATTCAATGATTTCTCTCCCAAATCTGTTGATGTGGCCGCCCAGTGTTCTAGTGTCAGACAAAATAAGGAGTACAGTCATCGCACCTACGGCTGTGACCAAGGATTGGCTGAAAAGACTCGCTTGAAGCCTTTATTGCTTCCAGGTTGTGTTCTTTGAGTCAATGGTTTCCGTCCCCGTCCTCAATGTTTTATCCTTTCAAGTATTTGTATCTATTGAACAACACAGTAATTTTTTGAATTATTAATGTGGCAACTGCCGGTAGAATATTGACTTTCTTACTCTCCTCGTATTTCGTGGAAACACGTTTGCATAGACGCTAAACACATTTCATGGACGCGTTCGCTAAAACGTCATTCGTCTCAAAGCGGCAAATGTCATTTTAGCGAACAGCGACGTTTCAACGGGGATGCGTAATGGGCGTTACAAAAATGTTAACCCACCTGGGCCCACCTGTACACGCCGCTTTGAGGCGACGGTCTGGGGCAGCTCATTAGGGAAAAGGCTAATATGAGCTGTCGATGGGCAATGGGAGGAAACAGCCAGTAGAAATTCGGGGAAATTATTCTCCCGGCTTCCGGGAGAATATACGCTACCTAAATTCAATGAGGATCGACAAGTGCTGCAGCAGACATTAAAGGGATACGTCGATGAAATTTGAAACATACCCGTCGTGTTCGAAAAGAGGCTAAATATGATCCTCGATATCCGCAGTGACAATCGCTTGTTTCTATTTGGAGCGAGTAAAGCTATACGCACGACGTTGTGCACCTTGACCGTAAATGGTTATACGCACGACGTGGAGAACTCATGCCATTGGGTTACCCTTTCCGGACAGCTCGTGTATCGCTCGGGAGCGTGTTAGCCCCAGCCTGCGTTCATGCTGCTTTGTGGCGACAGTCTGCGGCTGCCCATTACAAAACTGTTAACTCACTTGTCCCCATCGTACATGCTGCTACACGGCGTCCAGTAGGCAACCCGAGCCCAGCTGTCCCCTATCTCACCTCTGGAAAGGGAGTCCCATACCGTTAAGTTCAGCGAAGTTTAGTCGACAACATTTGTTGTTTTTTCTGGTTATATTTGTAACGAAGGAATGTCGTAAATATCACCAAATGTTCAAAAAAAAAGTTGGACAAAAAAAGAAAAAGTATGCCCACTCTTTGGATGAAACTTGGGCCTGCTGCATATGAAGCGGACACTTTTCCACTAAGCTACGCATAGCTTCAAAAACTCGTTTTGACAATTCGTTTGATACGAGACCAAACAAGTCTGGCGTTGTGCATATAGCCATTTCCGATTGAGGTTGTCGTGCATATGACTTTACTCATTGGGAGCCTGATGGCGGTATTTGTCGTTATAAATGGCCCACTCTAATAAGCGCTTTGAGAGCAGCCAGCGGAGAGCATACGAGATTTGGCGCAATCGTGACATAGAATGTCTCTGGACAAGCAAAGCTGCGGCGAGGCGGACGTTGAGAGGATGTCCTAGCCGTTCCAGCCACCAAAGCGGCCGAAGCACGCCAGCGTTCCAACCCCACAGCTGCTTTTGTACAAATTTCGAGTGACTGGTTATCTTTTATAATCTTGTAGATGGACAGTAGCGATGTCTGGGGCACACAAAAGAGAGTCTGGGGCAAAGAGGAGTTTCTCCTTTCCCTCTTCTCTCGTGGTGGCCGGAGGCAAGACAGTTATCCTCTCTACCTGTCAAGATTCCTAGACGGGCATTACAAACGAGCCATTAGCAACATCCACCAGGTGCTGCTTGCTAATCGTATGATTCGTTTTAAAATTCCTTTTCGTGTCTTCTTAAACGAGAAATTGGTGTGTCTGGTGATACTGCTCCCTTGAACACAAAGAGACCAAGAAATAAGCGCCAAAATTTCGTTGTAGTATCCCTTTAATGGCGTTGGACATTCGGTACATCCAAAGTGCTTGGTGCCTGGAACACAGCTGACCAATTCATGAAGGCCACGAAGGCCTTGGTGGTGTTCCTCACGAATGAGGCGTTATCAGCCACTTTGTAGGCTGTTTAAAGGTACCTGCGAGATTTTGAACATTTTAACCATTGGCCGCTCTCATTGACAACTTCACCTCATCTTTCTTCCTCGTCGTCATATCAGTACAGAGTAGCTAACTAGTTACCGTCTCTGTCCTTCCTTAATGAACCCTTCTCTCTCTTCCTGCCCAAATGTGGTGCTAGTGGTCTGAACCAGATACAAAGTTTCGGAGCTTGCTGTGGTACAGTTTAAAAGTTTTGGCAACTTTAAATTGAAAAATGGCGGCCGACGAAGCCCGCAATCAAACGGGGTGAGTCAAAGGGATCGATGGCTGTATGAAGGGATGGCATAAATTAATTTCTGAACGTATCGAGCTAAAAATGTTTGCAGAGGTGGCTGGAGAATGTGAATTAAGGATAGAAAAATTTCACCGAACAAAAACTGAGTAAAATGTTAGAAATGAAAAGCTTAAATGCGGCGGCCGTGCGCTCACCAAGGGCGCCTGATTGGCTCAACAGCCAATAGATGTCGGCTCTCCGTGTGGACAAGTGGGGCTGGGCTGTGAAGGCACCGTGGGTGTTTTAGCTTGGGTCTCTTGTCAGTGGCTCGTTTCGGAGACTCCTGCTCGAGGGCCAGGGTAGGGGAGCCCAAAGGTTACCTCCTCTGGCACCTCCCTTGACAGATCTCCACTCGCTCGTTGAGAGCTACCGTGAAGGTGACTTGCACCCTACAACAGCACGGATGAAAAACGAAGAGAGACGCGGTAACAACCAAGGAGTGCAAAGCAGACAGCAACATGTAGCCGAAAATAATTGTAGAAAAATATTAGATATCCGTTTTGTTGTTCTTGTTTTATGTTAATTTTTTAATGTTTTATTGGTAGAATAAAATAACGATGCGCCGAAAATTAGTGCAAAAAAGAGTGTGTCGCTTCTGTCTCGGAAAGGTTGTCTGCTATTGCCGAGGTGGAGGACCGCGATACAAGGAACAAATGCACCTCGGACAATGTCTGAAGACAGTCTTTTGAATGATGTGTAAGCAGTGTGACCGCAGCCTAAGAGCATGCCACCGAAAAACATATTGTCTTTAATATCCTTGAAATCTCAACCCCCCCATCTTCGAAACCTCAACATGTGCCGTGGTATTGTCTGCAACTGCGGCACGGCCCACAGGGCCGTGCCGCCTACACAGTGCCTTCTAACGTGCCGCCTTCTTTCTGCTGTTGCACCAATCAGACCCCTTCCTTTAGCAGACGGCTGCCGTACATAAAGATTTCATATTTTTAATGCGAAAGCATTAACTATCCCATGGAGCGAGCTGACGTCATCAGTTTGAAGCACAAAAACGGCTTCTAGTTTCTGCAATCCCAGTAAGAGCAAAGTAAAGCTGATGGATTTCGCTTTCAATTTCATTGGCTGGCACGCGTCGACGCGGCTCCCATTGGCAGCTGCGCTCGTCAGTTTCCATGACCGCTCACCCCATGGCGCTGTGTGTGTCCATCAGCGCGCCGTTAACACAAAGCGTTCAAGGTCAGCGTGCCCAGGGGAGCATGTGCGCTGACCGGCGACGAAAAGTATGCAGCAGACGAAAAAGGGAGCGGACGAGCGGCTTGCATGTTTCGCATTCACAACTCATAAGAAGTGCTTAGGAGTACCTCGAGCTTTTTGTTTTGTTTCTTTGTTTCTAACTTTTTACTCAAATAAGTTTGTTCAGTGAAATTTTCACACCCTCAATGCAGGCTCTTTGGCGACCTCTGTAAAAAAGGTTTAGCTCAGTGCGATCACAAATCGGTTTATTCGAGCGGCCATTGATTCCTTTGACTTGCCGTGTATGGAGATGAATGGCTTACCAGGATGGGCCCCATGTAAGGTTTATCTCTTATTTATCGCCGAATAAAGTACCGGTGATTTCTGAAACTTTGGCATCCGGACCTATAGCGCTACATTTGGACGGTGACTGACCATTGGGCGATGCGTCATTCAGTTTTGCGGTGAAACAAACATTTGTTTCGGGGGCACGCTATACAAGCTTTCTAAGCTATTGGTTCTGATAATGATTTTTTTCTATATCTGAGAAAAAAAGGAAAATAACAAAAGGTAAGGGCACAAACGAGCTGGTGGTGGTCAAACATTTCGAAAAAACCCCAAGACTGGGACAATAAGGGACGGACAAACACAAAGTCTCAATTGAGACTTTGTGTTTGTCCCTCCCTTATTGTCCCAGCCTTGGGGTTTTTTCGAAATGAAAATAATAAACTTTCTGTCCACTTTTTATGAGAGATCTTTTATTATTTTTAATCAGTCCGGTGCGGCACAAACCGCACCAACTTTACCGATGATTACCCATGTTTATTGGTACTGCAGGCAAGCCAATGCTGACGTGCGACGCCAGATTGCGTCGACCGGCTCGGAACGGGACTTCTTTCGAAGTGTGAGCGGTGCCCAAGGAAGTGTACGAACCAGATTTATTCTTTAACAGATGACCTATTGAGTAGTTGAAACTTAGACAATTTTTTTGTGGAGAAGCTCATGAAATTAGATATTGAGGTATTGATGTTCATTTGCCAGCGATCACACCAAAAAGAGAGGGCGCCTAAGTCACGCTGTCAAAAATTAAAAAAAATCAGACGGTCGGTTTAGTTTTTGACAGTTCTGTAAATAATGCAGTCGTCTGCAAAGAGTCTGACTGTGGAGGAGATGCTAGTGGCAATATCATTAATATAGATAAGGAATAACAAGGGGCCCAAAACTGATCCCTGAGGAACTCCAGACTTCACATTAATACTAGAAGAAACATTACAATGAAAAGAAAGTGCCTGTGTTCTGTTGGTCAAAAATTCCCGAATCCAGTTAATTAAAGAACTATGAATATTAAGATAATCAAGTTTTTTAAGTAGGCATTTCTGTGGCACGCGGTCAAACGCCTTAGAAAAATCAATAAAAATAGTGTCAGTCTGAACTCGCGAATGTATGTTGGTGTGTAGATCGGTTAATAATTCAAAATGTTGGGTTTCGCAAGACCGGTTCTTCCTAAAGCCATGCTGATTTATGATAATGAAATCATTGTCTACAAGAAAGTTTATTATATGAGTGTACAAAACATGCTGAAGAATCTTGCATGGGACGCTGGTGAGAGATATCGGTCGATAATTACAGAACGATCTACTACCAGATTTGTAAACTGGAGTGACGATTGCACGCTTCCAGTCATGCGGTATAATGCTCTGGTCTAAGGATTGTTGATAAAGCTGTGCAAGAAGAAGCCCGGCATATGGCTGAGTTAGTTTTAGTGGCTTGGAACTGAAGACCGGAGAGGCAGGTTTCATATTATATTGTTAATACGATCGAGGAAAATTTTAATCTTCGATAATAAAGAATGGTTGTGTGCAAAATCACACTGGGGCAGCGGGTAAGACTCTTCGGTAAAAAAATGACCGCATCTTCACGTGGTGAATGATGTTGATTGAGGCGAATCTCTGGTGGTGCTGATGGTTCTGATTTTGTTCATAGGTAGTGCTGATGGTGCTGATTTTTTTTTTTATTGCTCATAGGTAGTGCTGAGTTCCAGGCTGCGTTGGTATGGAATGTATGGTATGGAACGTGGTTACATACGCATTTGAGCATTTGACCGCAGCCAATGCATGCAAAGTTTAACACGATTATATACGCATTTGACCCCAGCGCCCTTTCATGTATAGACGTTGAGCGGCTACATGCAACGTGTCATCCCTGACATCCCCAGCTCTTGAGTTACTACCACATCTCAGAGCCCCCTACTCGTCCCGCAGTCGTGGCCGAGTGGTTAAGGCGGTGGACTAGAAATCCATTGCGGTCTCCTTGCACAGGTTTGAATCCTGTCGACTGCGCAAACATTTTTTTCTTTTTTTAAGAAGACAATTGGGATGGCAGTCGATGTGAGCACGGACGACAGACGGACGAGGCTAGACCCTAAGGAGCTTCGCCCCTAAAACATCTCCGAAGTACTCAATAATTTGTTTGCACACTCTGTTGGTGACATTACATTTCCATGCTGGTCTAAGAAACAATGAGGAATTGTGTCTTTAGGTGGGCTAATTATTTTCCAAAATTTCTTGGAGTTTTTTTGCATCAAGTTTTTTAGACCATTGCCGTAAAATTTGGATTTCGCAACCTTGGTTTCACACGGCAGAGAGTTGGGCGAGTTGGTTAAGTATCTTAATTGGTGGGAACAGCGCAGGAAAAACCGACGAAGGACGAGTAGAAGAAGTGCACAAACACGTTTGCATAGCTTTGCCTGAGTATCGTACTGAGACCATAATTCGTCAGTATTTCGAGATTGTGCCTTTTTTAAAACACGTCTTTTAGTGTTCAGCATTTTTTTCAGGGATTTCGTGGACCGCGACTTTTCTGGTGCATCAGGTATATAGTAATTTTTGGAACAAATGTAGCAAGTGTGTCTTTAAACTTATTTTTTATCCTTTGCCAATTCTCTTCTACTGACTGAGAAAAGAAAGCGCAGTTAAATTCGGCAATAAAAGTTTCTAAAACACTGTTTATACCATCAATGTCTGCCTTAGAGAAGTCGTGAATTTCCTTGGACTGTAAGGGAGCATTTCTTATAGATATACTGAAGTTAATCAGGACAGCCACGTGGTCACTGAACTTGTCAAGACACGTAACCTTTTTTTAAATATTCTGGCACAAAAGTGAACAATATATCTAAAATTGCATCGTCCCGAGTGGGTTTAAGTACTACTTGGGTCAGGCAAAATGATTGCGAGATGTCTAGAAAGGCGGATGTCAGCAAATTGTTGCGACGTTCGTCAGATATATTAACAGTGGTTCATTCGATCCTGGGAAAGTTAAAGTCACTTTTAAGAAAAACGGGCAAGCTTGGATAACGAGAGGCGACATTTCCAATAGAGGTATACAGGTGACCAGCAAAATCAGTCGAAGAGTTTGGCGGTCGATAGCAAGCACCTACTAAAACACACTCTCAGATTATTTCAATGTTGTCATCCATTAGAATGGGAACAGCTGGCAAATTTCTTTTGACTGCAATAAGGACTCCACCACCACGTGACTGTATCCTATCTTTTCTAAAAATTGCAAAGTCATGGTTGAGTACTAACTCATTGTTCTGTATATTGTCAGAAAGCCAAGTCTCCGTTCCTAATACGACGTCGGGGTTGCACATTGCAATTGTATCAGCGAGAGCGTCTTGTTTAGGTAGTATGCTCCGAAAGTTTGCAAGAGAAAAGAACAAGTCATGAGAAGTATTCTTTTCCCTTTTTAGGTCAGTTCGTATTTTGCCTTGGTATGGTCCGTTGCGATTCAACAACGGTATCCGTTTGGAAATCTTACAAAAACACCTTGCCATTCATAAAAAGTTTATCAAACACTAGACGCACACGTGATTGGGGACCACAATGCGTTTTTGCGTAGTCCCAAAGCTTTCTGCGTGCTTCACGTGTCAACGGCGAGTGATCTTCCTCAATCCATACCTTAGGAGATGCTAGCTTTTTCAACTTGTGTGCGTTTTCTAGAATCGTTTGCTTACTTTTGAAGCTAAGAAATCCATCATCGTCGTTTGCTTACTTTTGAAGCTAAGGAATCCACCATCATTCGCCGTCATCATTCCGGCGATGGTCATAATTGTATGTCTTAAATCCTTTGCTTACTTTTGAAGCTAAGGAATCCACCATCATTCGCCGTCATCATTCCGGCGATGGTCATAATTGTATGTCTTGAATCGTTTGCTTACTTTTGAAGCTAAGGAATCCACCATCATTCGCCGTCATCGTTCCGGCGATGGTCATAATTGTATGTCTTGAATCGTTTGCTTACTTTTGAAGCTAAGGAATCCACAATCATTCGCCGTCATCATTCCGGCGATGGTCATAATTGTATGTCTTGAATCGTTTGCTTACTTTTGAAGCTAAGGAATCCACCATCATTCGCCGTCATCATTCCGGCGATGGTCATAATTGTATGTCTTGAATCGTTTGCTTACTTTTGAAGCTAAGGAATCCACCATCATTCGCCGTCATCATTCCGGCGATGGTCATAATTGTATGTCTTGAATCGTTTGCTTACTTTTGAAGCTAAGGAATCCACCATCATTTGCCGTCATCATTCCGGTGATGGTCATAATTGTATGTCTTGAATCCTTTGCTTACTTTTGAAGCTAAGGAATCCACCATCATTCACCGTCATCGTTCCGGCGATGGTCATAATTGTATGTCTTGAATCGTTTGCTTACTTTTGAAGCTAAGGAATCCACCATCATTCGCCGTCATCATTCCGGCGATGGTCATAATTGTATGTCTTGAATCGTTTGCTTACTTTTGAAGCTAAGGAATCCACCATCATTCGCCGTCATCGTTCCGGCGATGGTCATAATTGTATGTCTTGAATCGTTTGCTTACTTTTGAAGCTAAGGAATCCACCATCATTCGCCGTCATCATTCCGGCGATGGTCATAATTGTATGTCTTGAATCGTTTGCTTACTTTTGAAGCTAAGGAATCCACCATCATTCGCCGTCATCGTTCCGGCGATGGTCATAATTGTATGTCTTGAATCGTTTGCTTACTTTTGAAGCTAAGGAATCCACCATCATTCGCCGTCATCATTCCGGCGATGGTCATAATTGTATGTCTTGAATCGTTCGCTTACTTTTGAAGCTAAGGAATCCACAATCATTCGCCGTCATCATTCCGGCGATGATCATAATTGTATGTCTTGAATCGTTTGCTTACTTTTGAAGCTAAGGAATCCACCATCATTTGCCGTCATCATTCCGACGATGGTCATAATTGTATGTCTTGAATCCTTTGCTTACTTTTGAAGCTAAGGAATCCACCATCATTCGCCGTCATCGTTCCGGCGATGGCAGTGATGTGATTGCTGCGCCAATTGCGCCAAACTGCGCCAAGAGGTTAACCCTGCTACATCCTGCTACATTTTGCCAAAATATGGGTAATCTGCGCCAAGCCTGCGCCAAAGGACCAATTTTGGTCGCCTTTGAAAACCAAAACTAAACTGAGTACCGTAATTGAGCACACATGAGCTAGGTGGTGCAAGCAGCCGTCCGACACAAAGTACCCTGTATCTGTCGTTCATCCGGTCTTGCATGATTTTTCCCGCCATCTCTTGTCTAGCGTCTTTAAAAAAAAAAAAAAAAATTGATGATAGGCGTGGGCGTGTGCGGGCGCTCCTATGCTAGCGTGCTGGGTACGAGCCACGCCGTCATGCTGTGAAACGAAACCATGTTTTTGCGCGGCGGGAGTTGTTCTACGGGCTGAAGCACTCGCTCGTAAAAGCAACGGCCGTGGCCAAACTATATTTGGTTCCTGCCTGCCAGCCACCATGGTCGTGCGGCGTCGGGTGTGGCCGTCCCCACGTCGAATCCCGGAGAAAAGCTCACCGGAGAAAAGCTCACCGGAGATAAGCTCACCGGAGAAAAGCTCAC